CATCATAGGTTACATCATTTGCAGGCATTTCTATTATTTGATGTTTAGATGCATATTTAGTAGGTCTTATTCGAGTATGCTTCATTTGGCAGTGTAAATGAACAAAGAACTGGGAATGAACGAGGCCTAGCTTGTGGAAAAAGGAATATTGGATCTATTGCAAGTCAAAAGTTAGATTGATAGATAATACATTCGTAATTCCAATAGAAAGAATATATTTCCTACAATAAAAATGTAAAATTTTCGCATGGGGAAAACCTACAAAGGAATCATCTTAAACCTATAATTGTTACAAATCTACGAAATAAAGTATTTGTAGAAATAAACCCGAAAGCTTACTAAAATTATATTTGATTGTATCCTATTAAATATTTAGCACATTTAATGTGCAATTCCGTACGCAAATACCAAAATTTATTTTACTTTTCTAATCACATTAATAATGACCTAATAAATATGTTTATTAAAGGATTAAAGGAATTGGCGTACGAAAAACAAATAGATATCTAGAGTTCGAGAGGAGAAAAGTTCCAAACAATTTTATTCTGCAAACAAAACAACAGAACCAAGGCTCAATTTCATATTTGATGCAAAACGAAAGTCCAAGGATATGTGCAATTTTTCATTATCAGCTCCATTTTCTTAAAAGTCATAAAAATTCATTTGAATGAAACACTTTCCAAATATTTAAAAAAGATTTTAAGAGCTAGATACAGCGAGGAAAGCCTCATTTCTGATAGAGTTAATAAAAATCTTCGCTAAATGTTTTGTGAACCTTTTTGATCTAACTTTTAATCTAAATTTTGAAGATCGAGTTTTACAGATCTTTGTGGAAAACATGGGGTCAATATGATTTGAAATATAGCTAGTTTGAGTTTTCAAAATCAAGCTTAAGGAATAAACTCGACTGTAATCTATCGAGTTTCGGACTACCTAGCTCTTTCTTGGGCTCATTTGTATAAGAAGCTAAATTGATTAGACTGTTTATTAATTTTAACTGCTCTAAAACATAAACGAGTTGCTAGACATTACTTAAATTTTATCATTTTATTCGAATTGTTTCTCGACTCATGATCGTAGTTCCCTTTTTGGTGAAAATATGCAGGTTTAAATCGCCATTACGCGGCAGTTAATTTGAGTGAAAATAAGTTTGGCATTCGCAAAGTTAATAAAGGTATCGAAAGCACCAATTGCAAAAGTCGTGAGCCCCAACACGCTAGCTAATTCCTCCTCCCCTTGGAGGAGTACATAGCTGTAAGCTTGTGCATGTACATGCGGATCAGTACATGCACACATGCATACATGCTTACATACACAGGTGTGTGTGTGCGTGTGTGTGTGTGTGTTGGTTGTCCCTGCGCCTCTGGTACAGAGGCTCGAAACGGGTGCTCAGGTGCATTATCCAATTGCAGCGCTGCCGCGCCGACCCAAGCCGGGGTTCGACCCTCCTCCACTTAGGCAGGCGGCTTCATTGCAGCGGCACGATTTATGACTGCGGCTGCTCATTTGTGGCCGCGGCTGCGGCGCGGCAAGCGTACGATCGATGATCAGGCCGCCATTTTTTGTTACGATTCGGATTCGCGATACCAGATCCCTGCTCGCCTTACCAAACAATATTGATTTTCAGTCTCTGCTGCCGTACCGCATAAATCGTGATGCACACTGGGCCGCAGTCGGCGAAAGGCATGTTGCATGTTGCATGTGCATGTACGAATTCTACATACACTCACACACTAGCCAATGCTCTATACTCTGATATGGCACAGATCCTAATGGCAGACAGAATTTGAGTCTGGCACCAGTGTGCGACTTGGCAGCTTCAGCTCCAGCTCTAGCGAGCCGAAGCACCCAATTTAGGATGAGGCCAAAATGCTGCTGCCTCGGGTGCAACTCGTGAACGCCGCAGGATGTTCATGACTGCCGCCGTGGCTGCTGTCGTTCGTGGCAGTGATTGCAAATGATTCTTTATCTGGTTGCAGTGCGGCACAAATGCGCGTAACTGCAGCACAAATACACATACTAACACCAATACAGACGCACATTCACACATTCACAGAGACACACATTGCACACACACACACACAGATACACATGCACGCAAGCTGATGTCTCATATAATTATTCCTTTGCTGTGCGAACATTAAAGTAGGTTAAAGGTTTTTTTAAACCTTTGACGTGAATTGATAAACGAAAATCTCCGAAACGTAAACATCGCATGTTAGACTAAACGAGTCCATATGCACTTGAAAAGACTGCTCGACTAGCTGATACCCTCTACACAGTTCTCAGAGCACATATGCGGTCCGAATTCGGAGTTCTACGAAGCTCCCCATTAGAAAAACTGAAACATGTACCCATATTTAAGGGATTTTCTCAATAACGATCGGACGATAAGCACGGACATATAAAGGAAATTAGAGGGTATCTACAGCAGTCTAGACGTAAGCACTCGTACATGTTTTAGTTCACAGCGTTTATGTACATTATCGGATATTTATCGATTTTCTGTTTCGAAAATGTAAAATAAGTTTGCAGTAGATCGAATGAAGAACTTAAATTAGGAAACAACGTTTTCCACTTAAGTTCCACTTCAATAAATCGTTTAAACAATTCCTTATTCGTTTATATTAAGGAGCTGAGTTTACCACATAATTTTCCAGCCATCAACGTGGATTTTCCAGTAAGTGTGAAAAACGATTTAATGAATTTAAAAAAAATGTTAGGAAATAAATGGCATACCCACAAACATGGAGAACTACGAAGCTGAGATGATGTACGCTAGAACAGGGCTTTGAAAATTCCCCCCGCCAGTGTGGAATATTTGTGGAAAGTAGTCGCATTCATCGGCGACAAACTCATCTACTAAGATTATTTTTTGTCGATCTTCTTGGCAAATCCACCCCTCTTTAACGACAATAAATATATATCTTTATAGAAATTCATTTAAGACAGTTTCACACTTTTCGGAAAATCCACCATATCTGGGTAATTTTTATCGGTTTCAAAGTGATATTTAAAGAGCTTTGAAAAAAGTCATCTGAAACTTGTTTAAGCTTTTTTTCGGCTGTCACGGCTTCAAACATATTTCTATATATAAATGTGAAATATAACGTGAAACTTAGTTTGATAAGCTTACATTTTCACATGTGAAATATCAGTTTAAGATCGATATCAGAAATGTTCGGTTAAGGTCGCGAAACATCAGCTTGTCTAGCATAAATAAATGTATAACTTGTAGTAAATGTGTAATTCAAATAAGATCACATATCAAATGTGAAATGAAAAATAGGTGGGATCTATTATATATAGCTGGAAAACTATTAAATATTTGAATAATTTGTAGATGTTCTCAGTTTTTGAGTTCTCTTTACATTGGGGAGGTTTTTTAATAAAATGGGCTGACTATAACGTTCTGATCAATATTTGAGAGGTTTTATTAAAGAACTATGTGTATAACACAATTGTATGTATCTAGTAGAGAAGTACTTAGATATGTATGCAATTACAGTTTAGGCTGAAAGTATATATACATTATATATGAGGGATTAATTTAATACATCATTTACTATATAAATAAATATGTATATATGTATGTGTGTGTATGTGTGCGTGTGTATGTATGTATATATTTCCCTGCTCGCATCATTTTTGACATAATCACTCTGTGAAGCTGTGTAAAATAAAGCCCAGGGCAAATATGGTAGGGCACTCACCACTGGCAAAACACATTGCCAAGCGTCCAATGCCGAGTTTTTCCCAGTAGCATAAGTTACACCCCTGAGGCCAAAGTGTGCTGGCAACCCCAGCTTTCCATATTTATGTATATGCGTATGTATGTGTTTTGCAACCACTGTGCTTATGTACAATACACGCAGGCATTAATATAAGCTGTATGTAGGTATGTGTGTGTATATATGTGTATGCACACATATCCACTTAAGCACGTGTGTGTGTGTGTCGCTATCTATGTACATATGTATCTATACATATACATATATCTGCCAGCGAGTGTGTGTGTGTGTGCACATGTGCAGAGGCTGCGCTGCCGACGCAACGGCAATGCCGCTGACGCAGCCTCTGGGTTCGGCCCATTGTCTAGTAGTCAGCTTGAGGGGCGTGGTTTCCGAAAATATAAATGGCTGTAGCTGTGGCTGCGGCTGTAGCTGTATCTGATGCTGTTGCACGTTTCAACGTGAACACGAACACAGCAGCAAACCGAAACGAACACACGCATACATACGTATCTTATGTGGTATTGGTGGCCGCAAAGATTTTTACAGCCTGCTCTCTCTCTCTTATATAAATATTGCTCTTCGCTGCAGCAGCGCATGTAACGAATGCTCTTTACATTATAAGACCAACCGGTATAAGTGTCTTTTTAAAAAATAAAACTTAGGATCAAACTATATTTTAAATTTTAGAATATAGTCATGATATCTATATAATTAGCCCATTAAGCTAATTATTAAAAGTGTGCTGATTTCACAATTTACAATTTAGATTCAAATTTGAAAACATTTAAATCAGTAAAAAATTATATATACGATATAAGGATATCTGGCATTATAAGACAACATAATTTAATATATATATTAACTATAGTTTGAACTGAAAAAAGATACGGTTATTTATTCCGGCTCAAACCCGCATTAAGCATGGGCTCTGATTTAGCGGACTGACAAAATCTATAGGCGAATCAGCTTGAAGGGGTTTCGGTTCTCAACCGGTTTGCAGCATGCACATTGCTCGTTTCAACACTCTTCTGGTTTTGGCTCTTAGCTAAGAGAGTTTTTTGAAAACCTGCTCCGGGGAGGGTCAGCGCCTGACTGTGCCTGTATGTGTGCGAGCGGCAAACGGTCTTGGGCATTTAATAGGTTTTGCATGCATGTATATGTGCATGGCTATAAAGTGTGCGTGGCAGCTGTGTGTATGTATGCGCGCGGGTGAGCGTGTGTGTGTGTGTGTGTGTGTGTGTGTGTGAACACATCTGTATTCGAACGGCAGCATCGTCAGCATCGGAGCACATCCCCTGAAGGTTTTTACGTCCAAACAGAAAATTTAGTTCAGTCGAGAACTACCGTCAGTGGCTGCGCAAAGGCACAAGTTTATTTGCGGGTTTTTTTCGAAAAGCCAAACTGAATATTATGCTGTGTGTTCGACATTGCTTGCGATTGCAAACAGCCCGAGAAATAATTACGTTTTTCGTTCGTATCCATGCATCCACCCACGCATATCCAGTGCACCTGTAATTGCAATCACTTTTACTTCGGATAAGTGAGACACACACACACACACAAACAAACACACACACGCACGCACGCACACGGTGTTAACATAAATATTTAAATAAATACATATATGTATCTGTGCTTCCTTTAAGTGAACATTTATATAAGCATGCACTCATATGACTTATAGTTGCCTTATATTCAGTGCCAAATAAATCTATTGTCTACTGAGCAATTGTACCTGTTTCGTATATTCTAAAAAGCGCGAAGTGTTCCAGTTTTGTGACAGTTCAAAATATATACTCTATGTAATCGCGATCACAATCGGAACAACAAACAATAATGCATATCTTACACCGGACCAATGACCATCAATTTGAGGATCAAAAATTTATGATGGTAAGATTTTTTGCAAGGATTTCCCCGATTGCCGCACACCTCTATCAACTGGCCGCTCGTCCGTGGTTCCAAGGAAACGTACCCACTGACCAATTACCTGTCAGCTAGAATCAGTGTTAAGCGTATCCGTACAAAGTACTTAAACTCCGATATTGAAAGTCAATGGGGGCTGTGTGATCTCTGATTGACATAAAAATTTCATGCACGCAAGCACTCAGGGTAATTACCATACGGCAACAAGTAAACCATGTCTGCGATCTGAGCAGATTGATTACCATAGCCAAAGCCCAATTTATAATAATAATGGGCGCACTTAACGCTGGAATTTTGCATCCTCCAAAAGGGCAGGCTTCCATCAACACCAAGCGCTTGTGATCTGCTTAAAGCTTAAAGCTTTCTTAAAGCTTTCTTGAAACAAATCTTTTCGTGACGCACTGCTCTAGATCAACTTTATATAGTAGATCATGCAATACTTGCTTTGAATCAATTGAGTAGGCGTCTTTGAGCTTTGAGCTTTTCCAGCAGACATACAGCACATAATCCTGAGATATTCGTATTTTAAAATGTGCAAGTCAAAGCGATATTTCCCTATTACATATATATACACCTATTCCTAATCAGGACTAGTCTTGAAACTATATTAATGAGAATTTGTAAGTTCGGAATATCGCATATCATAGAGTTTATAGCTGTAATATTTCTTGAATTGTATTGAATACTTTCTTTACACTTTTTCTACAAAATGTATTATGCGTTATATGTGCATATTATACCTAAGCTCGATGAGCTGTATATCCGTAAGGCTATGTCTATAAAAGACTGACAACTTGTCATAGATTCTTCTCATTTTGCTGAAGACAGTCTATGGATTGACGTCGACCAGAGCAGATATCTATATTATATAGCTGCCAAAGAAAAGATCAGGGAAAACAGAGATTTTCTATAAATTAACTTTGCATTAATAATTTGTGCAACATTTTTTCAAGCTCTGAATATTTAGGTTTTGCTTGTCAAAGTATAGAAATATATGGGAAACCCGTTACACGTGTATTCAATCTTGGCAAACCGAAAATAACTGCAATTTCTGGTTTGCATTTTATGACAGATTCTGAAAGCATATTCAGAAAGTTCTTTAACAAACAGTCTTAATAATTTACCATTTATTAATAAGTCTTTGTTTAATGAAAATTAAGATCAGCTTTTAGCTAATGTGAAAAGAAAGTCCGCTGCGAGTATTCTGTCTTATACAAAACTTTTGGACTGTTTTTGTTTAGGGAACATTAAAGATTCCTTGCCAGGGCCAAGTTACGGACGTGCCAGGTTTTCCCGTCCGAGAAACTTAGCTTGGAATAAACTTATTTTCTTGCAAAAGTGGACTCCATAAAGTTCGACAAAGTTAGTTTGCATGGCAACAAACTGCAGCTAGTGGGATTTAGTATAATTTTTCTTCTTCCACTCTTTTTTATGGACTGAGTCCTGCCGATCACCGTGAAGCGAATAAAAGTATGATGGGAGACACGCACATTTGGTCCAGCTGAAGCTGTGAGAGCGCAGTATCTAAAAGCTGGGAAAACGAGCAACTTGCAAAGTTTTTGCTCGTCTAGAGTTTAGGGTATGACATGGAGCAGAAAGATTTGGTTCGTATGCGTCTGAAGCTCGCATTGGCTGCGTTTATCCACCCCCATTCAATTAGTAAAATTATATGGTTTATCGGCATTCCAGGAACTTTTTTTTGATCCCTGCTCAAAAACATAGGCTCAAATGACGGGGCAAGGGCCAAAGATCACAACAGAAAACACAGAGGAAAAAAAACACACACACAACAAAGAGGCAGTGAAAAAGTCATCGCCCACCAAAAATCAGTTCGCATAGCCGTTGAAATGGGTAAACCGAATGTGTTAGCGTTATCTGCCACAGTTAGACCCTGCCCTGCGCAGACTCTCGGCCTGCTCCACATCAGGTATGTAGGTATAGGTATAGGCTGTTCGCGTGATGCGTTGCCAAAATAATTTATGAGATTCAAGCACAGCAGAACTCAGCGTAGCGCCCAATTTGCGTGCGATCTTTCATATCTGCGCCAACTGCAACAAACTGATAAAAAATATGTATATATTTTTTTTTGGCCATCTTTCTCCATGGTTCCCAGCACAGTTTGCTTTGCTAGGCACTTAATTGTATGTGAACACTACGAAAAAAATATATTTATTTATGCCCTAATTATGCAAGGATTTTTCATTAATTGCATCAACATTTCCATTTTATACTTAGATCTTCAACTTTATCACAAACTCAACTAGCACGGGCCTATGTTTGTGTTCTAATGTTTATTATTATTAATACTTATTATTAGTGTTTATTATATTATTTCTTATTAATGATTTGCTTTGCTTTAAAACTTGCATTCAATTTGTGTGTTTGTTTCAGAGCTGAAACAAAGAGTTATTCTCTCTTGCCAGTTGGATTTAGCTATTTATTAGTTTAGAAATAGATTTGTGCATGCAGAAATATATTTGTATGCCATGCATGGAGAATATAGTGCGATCTTTCGGATCATAGAAAATTCAAATATTGGAATTGTCCAGAAATAAAAACTTGGCGAACTTTCTATTTTGAAAATATTTGATTAGCTGACTCGAGTTACGGACCGCAACTTGTCAATAAATTGAAAATAAATATCTAAAAGATGAAAAAGATAATTAATAAGTGCAGGCTTATCAGGCAAAGTGCTCAAAGTAGACGAAATTTTGGGAACAGCATCAACTTTTGAAATATATACATACAGAAAAAAAGGAATTGCAAATAAATAAAATAATAATAATACAGAAAAAAAGGAATTGCAAACAAATAAAATAATAATAATACAACTTATTACCACGCACCAATTTCTTCGGACAGATTTAAGAGTTTCCGAATGGGCAAACATTAAATGGCCAAATTTGAGATGCCATATTGGGAGATAGTAGGAATATCTTCGGCATTTAGTGCACATTTGCCTATGAGAATTGATTTTGTATTTCCCCAAATTTTAAACAATGTTGAAGTTTGAATTTATCTATTGCCTTTTCGATTGGTGAAATCGGTTGGGACTTGCGAAAGTTCTGGCGCATATACTCAGATTTTGTTTTAAAGATCAAGCTTTGTCTATGGAAAAATGTTTAAGAAAATCTATTAAAAGATGTCATCAAATGTTGATTGCAAAAACATGTCTTATGTTGCACAGTGTGGTCTAATGAATAGTTTGCCATGCATGACCTCTGTTCTTGTTTTGACTGCGCGATTGGCAAAATGCAAAATGGAAAGGGAATCATAATTTGTGTACGGATGCGCGAATGCGATGCACACACACGCAGACAAAAGACGAGTAGATGTTATTATGAATATGTAATAAGTGCCTGGCTTGCAAGAACGCATCAAAATTGATTTCATTTGCCAAAGAGGAAATTAAAAAGTCCACTCAAAATGAAATTGAAACGCAAGATAAATGTAAATTTGCGCAACGCGAACGCGAACTGCGAACCGCGAATTGCGAATTGCGGACGATCGCAAGTGTCGAAACTGCGGCGTGTGTTAGGCTCGTGGCAAAGCACGGCTCGGCTTGTTTGGACCCGCCCCCCTCCACCCCCTGCCCCCATTCAGCAGCCCGAGTACCCCATCACCCATTCGCCGAGAGGAGCACCGAATGCATCTTTGCACTGCAGATCCCAGTTCTTTTTTTTTTTTTTTTTGCCTTCGACTTTGCCGTTTAAGCCGGTCTCCTCTCTGCTGTCTGCCCTCGTCTCCTCTCGCTCCCCTCGTCTCCTCTCCCCTCTGCACATCTTCTCTCACAGCTCTGTCGTCTGCTTGAGCCTACCTGGATGAGTTGGTGGCTGGTTGCCTGGCAAATAAATTCGTATTCTGCTATTCGTCATAAACCTGCTAGAACAACAGCCACAGCCACAACACGGTCCATGGGCCGTCCCTCGATTTTCACTTGATCCAGAGACGTGCGTATATCCCGCTTGAATACGTTTATGAATGAGTTTTACTACTTCATTAAAAGCCAGATGTCGGCCGCGTCATGACAGTGGGAGTGAAAGAGGGTGGAGGACGAGCGGGCGCAATCCCCACAAAAAGCCGAAGACAGTCCAAGAATGGAGTCGGAGTCGCGGAGTCGGAAGAATCGCGAGCGTAATAAACAAAAATCGATTATCGTTCTTCGCGTATTTTCATTGTTGTTACGAATATTATATTTAGAGCTTGAACGAGCTTCCTTCTGCATTCATTTAATTTATAGCCGAAAACTCTTTCGGCCCATCCGGCACATCCAGCTCCAACGCCTGGCATCCGTGTGTGTACATAGTTGTTGTACCGGACGTCCAGTCGATGAGCATTCCATGCCAAAAAGATAAAGGTCGACGCTTTTCTCTCTCTCTCCCTCTATTTTATATATTCAAATTACCTCCCAGGCATTGATAAGCATTTTAATGCAGCCAACCGGAATTCACGAACATATGCGAAACATAAGGGAAAGCGATTCACTTTGAACTCAAAAGAAAAGACCTTTGATATGAACTTTAAATAAGAAATTTGTGCTATATGAAAAGCAACGATTTTTTGACCCAATTTCATTGGGTTCATGGTAAGAAAATCTAAGCCTATCCCTGCTCCAACTTTAGCTAAATTGGGAGTGGAGATAAAGTCTACAAGAACTTCAAGAACTTAGAACAACTACTAGAATCTACAAGAAAGTTTCATCTGACTCAGAGATTTCTAAGCCCAATATAATTGGGTTCCCGGTAAACAAATCTAACCCTATCTCTACTCCAAGTGAAGCTGGGTTGGCAGTGGATATATTCATAGAAAGTCTACAAGAACTACAAGAATTAAGAAAATCTACAGAAAAGGAATTTCTAACTCTAAGATTTCTCAACCCAATTTCATTGGGTTCATGGTAAACAAATCTTACTCTACGCCCACTTGTAAACCATGCTCCGAATTTTGTATGTTGCTCGAGACAATTA